AAGAGATACTCTCAAGAGAAGTTTTTCCAACTCATCTTTTAAGAGCTGCACGGTCCTGTATCATCCATAGGAAAATATCCAGCCCCAGCAGACCTCTGGCAGCAGCAGCTTCCAGGCCCAGCTGGGCAGGGGCCCGGGGGCTCAGCACAGTGCACGTGCTGCAAACAGCAAGGCCCTTCCCAAAAGCTTCAGCCGTGAGTTCTCCAAGAATGAGCAGCAGAAAGACGATGAGGTTGCTTGAGTATCCCTGTCCACACTGAAGACTGAATGGACACCTGACATGGAAAAACGCCTTTTCCAGAAGGTTTGGGTGGAATTGGAGGAAACCTGGCAGCACATGGTGCTCCTCAGACAGAAGGATGCTACAGAAGCCCCATCTACAACTCATACAATGCAGTCTCCAAAGAGAAGGAGTCACACCTATAGGCCGGCTGAGATCTCACCCACAGCACTGTGTGTCCTGCTGGGTGATGGAGCCCAGGAATGATAAATTCACACTGAAGATGATACGGTCTTCTGAGAGGACCTGAAGATTTGTCCAGCCAGCCAGGAGACGGATGGCCATGGGATATAAGTGTTTAATGTCAACAGTATGGAAAGGTAAGTACCAAAGGGGGAAAAGACCAAAGTAGATACTGGCATAGTATCAATACATCAACACCCTATGGCTATACTTAGGTTGGAAAACAACCAACAGCCTTCCAGGAGAAAACAAAAGAGAACTAAAGCTCCAGCTGATTTTAGGACAGAGCTTAGTGCACTCAGGAAAGGCTTCAAATGGCACTTAAACTAGAATAGTCACTACCAGTCTTGTTAAAGATGAAGTCATGATGGGGTAAGACAGTAAACTCGAAATGCAGATTGAATTTTTATTAACCCTAATTAAAACTATCATCGAGATGGGCTAAGGGTAGGATCATCTTCTGAAATGTAATTTGCAAGGCCACTTATTGAGGAAGTATTTTTAAATACAGTTCATTTAGCATTTTCTTAGCTCTTCCTATCAGAGTGACAGCAAACTTCACAAGCAAGGCAAATTCAGAAGCAGCAGCTGTAAATCTGTGTCCTGCTGTCTCACAATTTTTTTCTGTTTAAAGAGCTTCTGCAGCTTTCAAATCAACCACCAGCCTTCCCCAATCTGGGAATGTCCAGTAAGCTCTCTGCTCCCATTGCTGGTGCACATCACCTAGAAGGGCTCAAGTCTGAGCAGCCCCTGTACAGAAACCCCAATCCAGCTGATGGTGAACTACCCCAGCTTGTCCAGACGACCCACCATTATCATCTAGCTCCTTTATTCCACAAGCCAAATCCTTCTGTGTTCCTATTCCTCACCCCACAAATAATTTGACTTTTACAGAAAACAAGCACAAAACATCCTCAGGCTAAACACTGCTGGAAATCCTTCCTCCTGCTCTGCACAAAAACAGAACCTGGGTGCAATGCAGTCCTGCATCCCCAGGGCACCCACCCTCCCATCCCACCCCACTGCCTGGCTCCCTTGCAACCAGGTCCCTCATGACAAACCTGGCACCTGCAGCCAGGGATGAAGAATTAAAAAAATAATAATGTAGAGACCTTCATTTTGGTGGATGAGCAGAAAAGCTGATGCCTATTTCAGAGAGAAATATTGATCTAATTAGCATTAAGCAATGACTAAAATACTCAGTAGGAAGTTAAGAAGGGGTTTGGATCACCTGTGTTGGTGCTATCATGGAAGCAGGGTGTGTGTTGCAGCAGTGAGGAGCAGTGAGTGGGAGCAGTGAGGCCAGAGCTGCTCTGCTCTCCCCTCTCCAATGCAGCATCAAGCTGTTTCTGCACATGTTCATAAATAAATGACTTGCCTGGCTGCAGCCTGCCTGCATCTCTCTGCAGTGTGAGGCCAGAAAAGCAACTATTGCCCCTTAGGAAGACAGCAACAGATGCCACCATGGGTCCTGAGCTGGGTGAGAGCTTTGGGCTAAGGCATGGCAGTGAAAGGAGCTGGGCTCACAGCCTTGCAATGTTTACAGCACTGACATCACTTTGAAGAGGAGTGAGAATGAAACAGTGTTGGCTTACTCAGCCAGAAAGCAGCAGCAGGCCTCCCTGCTAACCCCAGGCTCTTGGGTGAGAGCTGAAAAAGCAGCCCCACTGACCCCTGGACTGCAGGGTTTGAGGGACTAGTCAGAATTGCAGCTCCAACAAAAAATATCCTTCCTCAAATGTTTAATGATTTAATTCCTGTGATGCAAGGTGTCAGCAACTGCCCAAAATATTCTTCAGTGCCTATCAGCAGATTAAGAGCAATCCTGCTCTGAGCTGCACAGGTGCAACCCAGCACTTTGATGGCTTGTGCCACTTAAGCAGCCACCTTGGGAGCCTGCCTGCTCCCATTTTTGCTCTCCAGATCCCTGGTGTGACTCTGTTGGTACCACCCTGCAGTGATTCAGTGGGCCCCTGAGGTTCTACATGATAAGAAAACACATTGCAACTACGCAGTGACAGCCCTGAGTGCTGCAGCGGTGCCACCCCGACCCAGCCTCTGCTCCTACATCACCCTAATTCCTTCTTCCCCAAAACTGGCCCAGATTACCAGCTACAGTGGATGCACCAGAGGCCATCCAACTGTTTCAGACCCCATGGAATCTCTGCCCATGCCCACCAGGTATTTGGCAACCTGCCTGTTAGCAAATTTTCCCCAATTCATGACAGATGCAGCTCTGAGTGCAGGCAGGGTTGCCATGGCAGCCATCCATTCATCCATCCATGGGCAGCCAGGGCCACTGGTCCCAGGGACCATGCATCAGGATGGCTATGCCCTGGGTGGGCTCTGCCCCAGGCTGCCCCCCATACCTTAGATCTGACATGTGCAAGGTGAATTTAATGAGTTTAACTCTGAGAAGCAGCAGTTATCTGGTAAACTGGGTCTCACTGTCCCGAGTCATCTCCTCAGCTCCAGTAGCCCACCCTCTCCTTGCCCCTTTTCACCACAGGCTACTTTTGTCAGGATTCCCTTGCCTTGGTTTGAGACAGGCACAATCACTCCTGAAGATCCACAGAAAGCAACACTTCATCCAACATAAGAATAAGCCTATGCTCTATAAAGGTTGTCCTTATGGCATCTGCTTCCTTTCTTTAATAATGCATCAGGTTTGTAACGCACTTCTCCATCATTGTCTACTAAAATATGCTCCTCTAACTTCAGGAAAAGTTGCCTGTTTAGTAAGCTCATCTTTCAGGGTGAGTGGCTGCTATGGAAAGGAGCAGCAGCACCACCAGACCTGCTCATCACCGCGGCAGAAGCGCTGACAATACCTCACGTCAGAAGCCTGCCCTGCTTCCCAGAGATCTTAATCTCCCCTGAAAGAGCTCCTTGTTTTTTATTTCCGTATCAGCCTCCTGAATGTCGATAAAAAGAATTACTTGGGCATTATCAGAAACCGTTTTATTTCAACAAAGGGCCAATGAAAAATAAACAAGCCTTTATCTGAGCGGCAAGACTGACAGAGTTCGCACAAGTCCTAATTCAATCAGAGCCTGAAACAAGAGCTATTTAACACAGAGACACCAGCACACCTCTCCTCCACAGCCAGGGAGTTCCCCACTAATAACTTCACCAGCACTGGGCACACACTTAAAAAATCCTCCCGACCCCAGCACCCTTCTGTGCAAGAAAAGTAGCTTTTGCAACATTGTTTTTTTCACTAGCCCATGAGAAAGGCCCTAAAACTGAGAGGAGAGGCAGCTGGTCTAGAAGGGAATTCAGATTTTCTACTCTGCCTCTCCCAGGGGCCAAGAGGGAAGCAGCACAGCTGAGTGATGAACACCACCTCCCCTTCTATGGATGGGAAACCTGCCAGCGGAAAGCCCAGGTTCTTCTCCTTACTTTCACCATCTGAAGGTGACACAGGATGTACAGCATTCTCTGCTGCTTCATGCATGATGGGGAGGATCTGACAAAAGAGCCTCTCTTAATGCAAGCAGTTTTCTGCTGGGCTTGTCTTTCGGACACTTGGGTTGTTCTGGTTGGTCAAATCATTAAAACCCCTTTTTTTTTCTTAACACCTGTATATATGCCATAAGCTCTTTGCACTGGAGCTGGAGAAGAGAAAAACACCAAACCCTCTTACCTGGTCAGACTGTGCTAACCCCAGACCCAAGCAGCGTAAGGACACTGGGCAGAGACCAGAGCTGGGGAGGGCTTTGATTTACTGTGAAAGGCTCTGGCACAGTTGGTGGGGCTTTTCAGCACCAGGGGAAATGCTGTGGGCTGGTTTCCTATTTTATTTTTTTTTTTCTTCTTTCTTTTTTCTTTTTAAACAGATTATAAACCAGCTGAAATCAAATTAATTTCACGGGATGAAAAGGCATTTCTTAGCTTGACATCTTTCTCCTGCTTAATCCCAGGCCAGCTGCAAAGAACATGATTTTTAAGAGCTCCCACCAAAACCAGCCCTAAAACCCAAGTATGAAAAGTCCCTGGAGTCCAAGCCCTGGAGTCTTCCCAGTAATTCAGTTTACCAGAAAGTCTTGGGTAACAAAGTGGTGCAGAAGGCCATCAGCTCCACTTTTGTCCCAGGAGGAATGTGCCCTGAATGCTCCATTTCCCAGTACCCTCGATGCAGGGATGAGTGCAGGGTCAAACAGTTGAAGCCACCAAACATTTTGATAAAATAAAGCCCAGGCTATATATAAACTAAAGGGAAGAGTGTTCTGCTGCCCTTCAACATCTCCAAGACTTCCCAGATGAACCATGGCTATTTGTTACCCTTGAAAAATTAGGTTCTAATGATCTTGTCCAGACACAGAAAAACTTTGAAAACCACATGTGGCTAAGTCAGAACTGACTGCATTCACAAGACTGTGAGGAAATAAACACGATTTAGACCACAGGACAATATCCAGGTCACTATATTTAAGATAACTCATATGTAGTCTTCCCTTCAACCCCGCCCTAACAAAGCTGCTGGTCTCAAAGTGCTGGTCAGAGAAGTGTAGAACCATTCAGGTTGGAACAGACCCTTGGGATCACCAAGTCCAACCATCATCCCTACTCTACAAAGTTCTCCCCTAAACCATCTCCACCAACACCACATTCAAACCACCCTTAAACACATCCAGGGATGGTGCCTCCACCCCCTCCCTCGGCAGCCTATTCCAGTGTCTGACCACTCTTGCTGTGAATTGTTTTTTCCTAATGTACAAGTCCAACCATCATCCCTACTCTACAAAGTTCTCCCCTAAACCATCTCCACCAACACCACATTCAAACCACCCTTAAACACATCCAGGGATGGTGACTCCACCACCTCCCTCGGCAGCCTGTTCCAGTGTCTGACCACTCTTGCTGTGAATTGTTTTTTCCTAATGTACAGTCTAGACCTGCCCTGTTGCAGCTTGAATCCCTTCCCTCTTGCTCTGTCAGACACCCATGGGTACTGCAAGCTGTTGTTCCACAGACTTAGATCAGCACAACTGAGCTCAGAACACAGCACAGGAACTAGAACTCATTTTTCATTCTCTTATGGCAGCATCTGAAGCCCTGACCCACAGTTCTTGCTGCCCTAAAACTGAGAGGAGAGGCAGCTGGTCTAGAAGGGAATTCAGATTTTCTACTCTGCCTCTCCCAGGGGCCAAGAGGGAAGCAGCACAGCTGAGTGATGAACACCACCTCCCCTTCTATGGATGGGAAACCTGCCAGCGGAAAGCCCAGGTTCTTCTCCTTACTTTCACCATCTGAAGGTGACACAGGATGTACAGCATTCTCTGCTGCTTCATGCATGATGGGGAGGATCTGACAAAAGAGCCTCTCTTAATGCAAGCAGTTTTCTGCTGGGCTTGTCTTTCGGACACTTGGGTTGTTCTGGTTGGTCAAATCATTAAAACCCCTTTTTTTTTCTTAACACCTGTATATATGCCATAAGCTCTTTGCACTGGAGCTGGAGAAGAGAAAAACACCAAACCCTCTTACCTGGTCAGACTGTGCTAACCCCAGACCCAAGCAGCGTAAGGACACTGGGCAGAGACCAGAGCTGGGGAGGGCTTTGATTTACTGTGAAAGGCTCTGGCACAGTTGGTGGGGCTTTTCAGCACCAGGGGAAATGCTGTGGGCTGGTTTCCTATTTTATTTTTTTTTTTCTTCTTTCTTTTTTCTTTTTAAACAGATTATAAACCAGCTGAAATCAAATTAATTTCACGGGATGAAAAGGCATTTCTTAGCTTGACATCTTTCTCCTGCTTAATCCCAGGCCAGCTGCAAAGAACATGATTTTTAAGAGCTCCCACCAAAACCAGCCCTAAAACCCAAGTATGAAAAGTCCCTGGAGTCCAAGCCCTGGAGTCTTCCCAGTAATTCAGTTTACCAGAAAGTCTTGGGTAACAAAGTGGTGCAGAAGGCCATCAGCTCCACTTTTGTCCCAGGAGGAATGTGCCCTGAATGCTCCATTTCCCAGTACCCTCGATGCAGGGATGAGTGCAGGGTCAAACAGTTGAAGCCACCAAACATTTTGATAAAATAAAGCCCAGGCTATATATAAACTAAAGGGAAGAGTGTTCTGCTGCCCTTCAACATCTCCAAGACTTCCCAGATGAACCATGGCTATTTGTTACCCTTGAAAAATTAGGTTCTAATGATCTTGTCCAGACACAGAAAAACTTTGAAAACCACATGTGGCTAAGTCAGAACTGACTGCATTCACAAGACTGTGAGGAAATAAACACGATTTAGACCACAGGACAATATCCAGGTCACTATATTTAAGATAACTCATATGTAGTCTTCCCTTCAACCCCGCCCTAACAAAGCTGCTGGTCTCAAAGTGCTGGTCAGAGAAGCGTAGAACCATTCAGGTTGGAACAGACCCTTGGGATCACCAAGTCCAACCATCATCCCTACTCTACAAAGTTCTCCCCTAAACCATCTCCACCAACACCACATTCAAACCACCCTTAAACACATCCAGGGATGGTGACTCCACCACCTCCCTCGGCAGCCTATTCCAGTGTCTGACCACTCTTGCTGTGAATTGTTTTTTCCTAATGTACAGTCTAAACCTGCCCTGTTGCAGCTTGAATCCCTTCCCTCTTGCTCTGTCAGACACCCATGGGTACTGCAAGCTGTTGTTCCACAGACTTAGATCAGCACAACTGAGCTCAGAACACAGCACAGGAACTAGAACTCATTTTTCATTCTCTTATGGCAGCATCTGAAGCCCTGACCCACAGTTCTTGCTGCCCTGCCCTGCCTCTGCAAGCTCCAGCTGCCACCAATGGGGTGGGCTCTGATGCCCTGGCTGTTTCTGGAGACAGACAGCAGATTTACACTTTACCCTCCACAGTCTGGGAATGCCATTGCCAGGGGAAGCAGCTGGAGGACACAGGTAAGGATTTATGGAGAGGCAAGGCAGGTTGCAGCTCTTTAGCAGCATGAGGCATCTTCACCAAAATGCCTGAGCAGCCACAGACCTTCCTGCCCTCCCTTCGCTGTCCCCTTCCTCTTTATTTCCCTGCTCTGGCTCCATGAAACATTGAGCAGGAGAAGCAGCAACAAGAGCCTGCAGGACCCACCCAGCATTGCCTGCCCAGCCTCCATCTTCCCAGCAGAGCTCCTGGCTCCCTCCAACTGTTGTTTTTTAAATGCATTTATTTTCATAGGATGGGAATCATTTGCAATCGAATGTTGTAACAAAGATGTTGTTAATGACAATTCAGAATAAAAATGTTTTTATCATCAGCCTGCAAAGATTTCATGGCAAAATGGCAAAGTATTTTGCAGCACAGGAAGAGCCTTTTCAAACCATGACTTAAAAAAAGACAGATGCAAACTAAGGCTTTTTGTGCAATACAGGTGGTGGTAAGAGGACAACACAGTAAATCATTTGTGTCAAAGCCCAGTTATTCCAAAGAAAAGAAAGCAGCTCACCCAGAGCTGATCATCCATTCCTGGTGGGTTCTTTTTAATAAAAGCACCATAATATGTAGCGATATTCCGGTGGTGAGAATACTTCTTCAGCATGTTAATCTCTTGTTTGATCTCTTCCTCTTCATCCTGGGATGAGACAAAAAGAAAAACAAAAACAGAGGCACTACAAGACTGCACTTCACAGGCTCCCGTTTCTCTTTGTACATGAGTGACCTTCCACTTTCTGACTGACCTTGCCTAAGTTTCCTTGCACCATTTTTTACAGCCACTTTTTGCAATGGAGCCCTGTGAGCCTCAGGTCTGGAGATTAACAGGTTAAATGGAGGCCCTTGAGCAAAAAAAAGCTAAGGAGAAAACACAGGCTTTGCCACATTCCCTGTAGCACTTCTGAACCCTGACCTGGAGTGATCATCAGGTGATTTGGGAATCAGATAATCAGGTAATTTCCAAACGGCTCAGATCATGCTGACTCCCCCAGATGGGGATCCTGAAGGTGGTGGCAGAGTTTAAGGCTGGGCAGCAGTCCCCTCACATGGGTTAGTGACCCACCATCCCCATGTGCTACTTCAAACCTTGTGGCATGAGTGGGAGCAGAGAGCAAGTCCCAGGAAGTTCCCGAGCAGCAGAACAGCTGCACGTGCAGGGACTGGCCAAGGGCCCTGACCTGCAGGGCAGGAGCAAGGCAAGGTCTGCCCAGGAACTGAGCCCTCACACAGACATGCTCTCCATCCAGAGGGCATCCACCACCAGATCTGGACATCAAAGCCAAATTACATGTTTCCAGAGTTTAGAATTCCTCTATCTTTTAAAACAAATTCCTTTATAATTGATATAATAATGTACCTCAGTATTGCACTACTCTGAAGCTCAACACCCACGTTACCCAGTAATGCATCAGCACACCCTCCTAGACCCATCAAAGGCCCAGGAGGATGAGTTTCCAGGAACCATTGCATGGCAGAAGTGCTCCTGTGTGGTGCATCCCACCCATCTGACACTGCTCCAGTCCTTCCCCAGAAGGCAGAAGAAGCACAAGATGTTTGGGGACATCAGGTGTTATTGGTGCAGGGGTGGCACCATGCAGGGAGCAGGCAGATGCTGTCTGTCCATCAACCCTCTGCCAGATGAACTCAGTCCTGGTGACAAGCACTGCTCCCATGGGCTGGCACAGCCCCTCTCTGTCCTGTCTGCAAAGCAGCAATAGCTGAGGCAGCTAAGGCAGGGGAACTGCATCAATGCCTGTTTTTATGTCCTTCCTCTTTGCTTTCACAACCATCAAACATGCCCTGGATTTATTTTAAGCTCACAGAATTCCAGCCCGCTGTAATTCCACAGGCTGTGGAGCAGCAGTTAGTGCCTTGATGTTGATAAGCTTTATTATAAAGGCACCAGAAGGGCTGTTACTTCTTTATTCTTCTTTATTACCCTCATGTCCCTCAACTGCTTCATCCTGACTTCAGTTTTACAAATGGGCAAAGGATGAGACACCACATTGAACAGGGAAGCTGCAGGAGCAGCTCTTCTCAAAGAGTGATGCTCCCTGATAAGGTGTCAAGCAACACCAATAAAAGCATGGCTTTCTTCCCAAACTACCACCAAAAGGGCCTTAATGACTACAGCCTTCCAGAAAATATTCAGGGAACACCAGTGAAGATTAGGGAAAGAGGAACAAATAAAAGCACCTGACTAGGAAACACGGAGAATAGCTACAGTGACACTTGGTCACAGGTTTATCTCAGGTCCCTCTTCAGGTTGAAGCATTCAAAATGGGAGAAAAAAATTGAAAAGACAAAACAGCCAGTCCCAGAAAGCAACATCAGAACTGCAGAGGTCAGGACAGCACCTGAGGATATGTCTGCATGGCCAGGCTCAGAGGCATCCAGCCCAAACTCCTGCTCCAAGCAGGACTGTCACCAGCAATCACCACCAGCAAATCCAGCAAGGGAGGGAAGAAGAAGGAACCATCACAGCAAGCTGCTGTAACTGCTCCAACCCTAAACCCAACCAAACCCACAGACCAGGTTTTGCTGCCATGCTTTGCCTCCATCAATCAATTCTATTACATCCATCACTGGAAGCAGGTCATGCAGCAGGACCAACCCCTGGAAAATGAATCCAAATTCTTCATTCAGAGATAGTGGTTGCCCAGACTGATCAAGTGCTGTAATTGGAGGGTCTCTATGCTGCAGTCTTCCCTAACAGGTAATCAGCAAGAGCATAGATGAGTTAAACAAAGCACTCTTGTGAGGAGCCTTTGGGGGTTTAGTGCATGGCACGTGATGGGGATGAGATGCTGGCTGGGAGTTCATGTAGCACATGTGGGCTTTGAACCCAAAAACTTCTGCCAGGAAGCTGCAGATGGTTATGGCTGGGATGACCATGCTAGGTCTGTTCGCTGTAGGCTTCTGAAAAATACAGTCATCAAGGACATCCTGGAAAAACGGATGTGATGGAAGATCTAGAGAAAACAAAGCAGAGGCAGCATTGAAAGCAGTGTGTGTCAGGAGGTGAAGGACTGGGGTGGGCAAGTTTGGGTTTTCACCAGCTGCCTTCACACTGATCTGGACCAGGTGCCAAACATGGCTGTAGGCACAATGCAGGGACCAGCTTTAGGTATTACTCCAGAAATGACTCCTGTGGTGTCTGGAGGACATGGCTCTAGATCTGACATCAGCATGTCAGATGTTTGCTGTCTTCACCGTGGTCATCGCCCATCCTGCCTAAACCTGGTCCTGCTCTCTCAGCAACCTACAGGCTGGTGGCATTCAGAGCACAGGAAGTTCTCACCTCTGCACCTCAGCTGATCCCACTGTCACCTACTGATAGCTACTTCTCCACTCATGCAATACTGGGGTCACTCAAGGCTGAGAAGCCACCACATGGGGTATTCCATGGGGTAAGAGAAGCAGAAGAGAGCAGAAGTTCAGTGAGGGACATATTTTAGAGGACTGACTTTAAAAGTTCATGCATTATATATAAAAAAAATAGACAATGTGTTTCAATATGGCAAAAGCAGCTTAAGGGGAAAATAATTAAATATCCAAAAATACATCCCATGACAAATATTTTATTTACTACCTTGGACATTCAGAGATGTGAGAGCCTGCTTTGGAAAGCAAAGGTTTAGATCAGGGACATCTACTTAAAAACCTCCCTGAAAATACAGGTTATTGGGCAGGACCAGGTTTGGGATACTCTTCTGCAACACCTTTGTTGGAAGTGATTATATTTTAAAACCACCAAACTAAGCGTGGACTCAAATTTAAGCCCCTGTTTGGCTTCAAAGTAGTATTCTGATTTCTCAGCTTAAATTTGTTGCAACCTCAGAGCTGATGCCACAGGAATCTCTCCGCTATTTATGCCATGGGATTACATTTGGTGGATCTGCCCATTCCCTCAGAGCCTGCTTCCCATGAGAACTAGATAAATGGCACTCGTGGCTGCTCCAAGTAAACAGAAACAAATCTCATTCACATTCACAAAATAATTTCCAGGCATAATTTCACCCGTTAGCACAAAAACAAAAAGAACCTGGATGAAGGTCCTGTAGATATTAATACCACACCACAACATCTATGGTATTTCAAAACATACTCCTGAGGCCAGCTGACTGCTTTCAGAGCAAGCCCATTCTGTATGTGCTGAATTCCTGAAAGCTAATTAAAAATATTAATTCAAAAAAATAAGGTAGGTAGATTGGGATTGAGTCCTAAATTTTGAAATGTGTTATTCTGGTTAAAAAAAACCAACAAACCCAACCAAAAAACCCCCAAACCAGAACAAAACACATTCTTACTCCCAAACTTGGCATAGTGTATGTAGGCAGGAACTTTGGGAGGTAGAACAGTGCACTTAAAAATAAGTAATGTGTCCGAGAAATCACTTTCATGTCACCCTCTTAAATGCATCCGTTTAGGTTTTCAGGGATCATAGTAATTCCACTTGTTTTTTCTTTCGTGGCCGCTGGGAAATGGTGAAAACATTATTTCCTTTAAATCCTGTTATTCGTTTAATAACTTGTAAATTCCTGGTTCTCTCTGATGCAAGTTTCAAAAGAGCCACATTTCTGAGCCCAGGGTGGTGCATTTTTTCCTCTTTACCAGTAGGATACACAGGGGCAATTTAATCTGCCTAGTAAAGTTATTCATAACAATTCCCGAATGTTGCTTTGGGGAACCAAAGCTTTTTTTTTTTAAAAAACATGGATTTAGAGAAACTGAAATGTGCCATGAATACATGATGATCCTGCTGCTACAATTTGCTTCAGAATTTATTAATTCATTTGAAAGAGCCACTGCTGGAACCAGGTGCTGCTTCATTTCAGCATCACATCACTTACTTCCCACTCCTCTTCCAGATTCATTTTTCTCTCACACGTTTATTAAAACCAAAACCTCTTAGTGGCACTTTTCACATTAAGGCAAAGGAGATTTGCTTCCCAGGAGCACAAACCTTCCACCAACCCCCATATGTTATCACACCCCATCCCTTTTCCCCTCTTATCTGTAATTTAAGGATGCAGGAGGATACGTTACCCCAGTGACGTCCATAACCTTAATAGCAGCAAGCTGGCCTGTTTTAACATGACGACCCTGCAAAAGAGAAGGGAGAAGTTTGTTTGTTTTGCTTGCTGGCAATGTTTTCCTGCAGTGAACAACATCCTTAAACAATCTCCTCGTCCTGGCAGCATCTCCACTTTTTTTTTTTTTTTTCTTTTTCAAGAGCTTCTTCACAGCAGCCATGATGGGAAAGCCATTCCCTCCCCTTCCTCCTGCCATTCCAGTTAATTAGTAAAGGGCCTTCAATGCCTTATTTTCCTGGCAAACAAGTGCTGGAAATAACCTTTAATGATCAGCCATGCAAAAATAAAACACAGCTCAGGGCCTCTCCTGAGCACAGAGATGACTCGGCTGGAAATGCTCTGCTGGAGCTGTGATGATGGAGCAGTGCTGGCTGGGGGACACACATGGCACTGCCCAGGGCCCACATGTCCCATCCCCAGCAGCCAGGGACCTGGGGACACCCCAGAGCTATCAATGCCTGTAGGGCACCATTATACACTCTGCCCACTAATTTATTTTGCAAAAGCCTCTGTTAGCAGGCTGGAGAGGTTTTTAAAATCCATTTGCCTCTTGGCTGTGGAAGTGACCCCCCCCTTCACTGCTGGCATGAGCAGGAGCCTGCAGCTAGAGAAGAAGCCCCTCCACACATATGGCCCCCTTGGGTTTCAGCAGCTGAAAAATCAGCAAATCATTGCAAGGAACTGCTTGTTGCATGGGGCTCAACTGCACTGATCCTCATGGAAAAATGCCTGGAAGCGACGGGGAAAACTACAGAAGACTTCAAGGTGTTGAAAGGGTCTTAAAACCAATACAACTGCTATCAAGCAAGCCACTTCCCAGCCTTTCCTCCTCTCCTGAGAAACGGATCACCCAACATCATATCAAAATTGCTCATGTCAAATGGCCCCCCGCTCCATTTGAGGGCACACGCTCTGCCTTCAAACCAGGCAGAGTCCGAGGAAAAGACGCTTCTTCTCCAGGAAAACCAGTGAACGTTGATCCCAGCAAGAGATCCAAAAGGCAGAGGGAAGCATCCCTAGATCCCAGTCATTTCTTACTACAGGAGCAGCCCAAGGCCTCACCATGCCAGATAGTGTGGAGGGGACACAAAACATGGCAGCTCCTGCCCTGTAGCACCGATAATTAACACACCAAGGACACAAAGAGGACAGAGGCTGAGAGGAGTGAAGCTGCAGCAACAGGGAGAAATAACAGCTTTTCCTCAATTGCAGGCTCCTCCAGCCCCCCAGCAGCTTCCTTATTGATGAGCTGGGGTTTGAGCCCAGGATTCCCAGCCCTCCTGCAGACTGGAGATGGCCTTTCACACCATCTCCCCTCCAGCAGGAACCCCAGGTCACCAGACACAGGGAGCTCTCCCTGGCACTTGAGGTTTCCAGGCACAGTCAGCAAACCCACGCGCCGGCTGCGGAGCAAGGCAGCATCATCCTCTCCAAATTTATGACTTCACCAGGAAGCCAATTCACCCACCAGGGCTCCTCGCTCATTTATTAACACAATTTATATGTCCTGAGCAACCACATGTTCTAACAACAGAAAAATAGATTTTCAAATGTGCAACATAAAAAATAATCTAATAAAAGGCAGCCCAGCAGCACGGGGCTGTGGCTGAAGCACCCCCTGATGTGGCTGCTGGGAAGGAGGGGTGCCTAGCTAGACAGCAGCCATTTAGACAACGTGATGTCCAACAACAAATCCTCCCTTCCTAAATTCATCCTTGTTTTCTTGGCCAGGAGGCTCCCACACATACTGACTCTTTAAGGGAAGCCAATGGAGCATCAGGAGGGGATGGGCTCGCACGCAGCCATGACATGCTGCATCTTCCACTGAATGGAGGAGGGAGGTGGGGAAAGAAGTTGGGGCATTTGAAGCCTTGGATCTGCTAGTTACACTCACCTTCATCTGGCTTATCACCTCACTTTGTATTTTAAGGAAACACTCCAGCCTTGCTGCAGCAGTGCTGCTGCCTACCTCTGACACTGGTCAAGGGGAAAAGCAGCCCTGTGCTCCCACATCAACCTTCCCCCAGGGATCTGTAGACCTCCCAAGTATTTACAGAGGAAGGTAAGATCTTAATATTGTGTGAATGATCACCAAAACAAACTACTATGAAACCTGTGTTAATATAAGCCATGAGGAACACTTATTCATGCAAAAATCAGGCGAAGTAGAATCAAGAAGTATTTAGCCCTGGAACTTTTAATCTTTGTTAAGAGCTGCTTTTCATGTAGTTTGTTTGTGGTGATGGGTTGTTGAGCTTCATTCCAGCCTATTTCCACCTCTGTCCAGGGAAACCAGCCACTTCCTCACCAATTAACTGGCCCTTTTAATTCAACATACCTAGTGCCCAGCACTGAGACTTGCCAGGAAGCCACCATATATAGTTTAGAAAAAAGGTTCATTTTCACCCTACTGCAGGCACTCTTGGTTTGCATTACAGACACAGACAGGCAGTCACTTCTGAGCCTTCAGATTACACCACCACCAACATTCTTGGCAAGAGGAACCAAAGGAAGCCAGAGGAGAGCAGCAACCACTGCAGCCACCCTTGCCATGATGGCTGCCATGGCAAAAAACAAAGAGGAGGAAATCAGAGCTACTAAAGTGTTTCTGCCCTCTCCAGATTTGCTGTCAAGGTTCACTTGGGTATAAACCCACATTTCAGCCTCAAGATTATTGATGCGTGAACTTCAAAGCTGCCACAGCTTTTAATTAAACATCCATCTGAGCATAAATTCATGCTCCTAATTACTCTCAAAACGTTGTATCAAGTACCACTAACTTGATAATGTCAAGTATTAAGACTAATTTCTGTGAATGAGGTAGACACCACAAGTTTTTTCTTCAAAGGTTGTGGTGCTCACACTCCATAAAGACTAACGGACCAGCACACAATGGGAACATGGGTAAATGCCTTTATACATCAATTGATGCATTCAGGCATTATACTTACTAAATACACAAACCCTGGCCTCCATATCAGCCTTTCTACACAAAAACTGCATATGCTGGCCCAAAATTCAAGTCCACATTTTAAGGACAGAAAGAAGATGATTGATTGTTGCTTTTTACAAGTTGGCTTGCACCAGCATGGATTTCACCTTTGAGCAAAACCTGCAATTTCTGTAGCCAGAAATGTATCCCACCACATTTACTTAACTTCTGCTGTCTGCTCCTATTTGTTCAACAAATGACATGACCCACCACCACCTGCTGCAATCAGTGGGACACAAACAGAACTGTCACTCTCTGAAGAAAGGCAGCAATCCCATTTCCTTCCGCCGGGCAGAGAATTGTCCCTCAAACCTCCCCATCAGGGCACTCAGTCCCATGCACATACCATCCCCATAGCAGGCATTTAATGGAGAAACCTTGTTGCAGGTCTTGATACTTTAAAGCAAAACGCCTGGGATTCAGCCCTCCTGCAAAGCCCTTTGGCACATAACATGTAAATATTAAGTGAGTGGGATCAGGGTGCTCTGGCAAGGCACTGCAGCAAGTTTGACACCGGCAGCTTTGCAAGGGCCAGACCCCAAAACCAGCCCTCACTGCTGAGAAAATGTCTGGAGGAATGTTTTTGTACAGAAATATCAGGAAACTCAGGCAAATAACAAAAAGGCTCATAAAAGTCCAAATATTACCACTTGCAGGACAGAGGCCTCCCAACCAATCTTCCACTGCAGTTGAAACATCACCCTGATGCCAGCAACCCAACAACTGCCCTTTCCACTGTCCACCTCCTGCCCCTAAACCATGGGACAGAACAACTTCACCACCACCCACTCCAGCACACACATATTCCTCCTACAACAGGAATGGCATGGGACAACACAGATTTTGGTCTAGTGGGAGGTGTCCCTGCCCATGGCTGGGGGGTCGAAACTAGATGATCTTTGAGGTCCCTTCCAACCCAAACATTCTGTGATTCTACAATTCTACCAGGTGAAAAATAATCAGTTTATTTTTCTACCTTTTCATTTTTTATACATGCTACCTATGAGAAGCTCTTTGCCAAGCCCTGCTTCTGCAAGCACACCTTCAGGGTGTTCAACTGGTGAGTCTCATCTCCTCTGCACTCTGTTTCTGCATCCCAGATCTTCTGCAGCAGAGGTCTCCTGGGATGAGGAAGAACTTCATGCTGATCCCTGGTCCAGTTCCTGCCCATTCCTTGTTTTCCTGTAGGTTCAAGGCTATTCAGGGACTTGGCCCAAGATTTTTAGAATGAAGGCACTTTATCACTAATGCACTAAAAATTGCATCCAGTTTTTCCTACAAGAAGGAACTTCACCTTCCAACAGGAGTTGTGCAACCAGACTGCCACCTTGTAGTAAATTAGACCATTTTACAGCACCTGCTGTGATTTGTTCCCAGCTTCTACAGAGTATAGGCACATTTATGTACTTTCTTTCACCTTGAAAACAATTCTGAGGGTGCCAAAAAAACCCCTTCCACTAGTTTAAGGGGCTAAAATACTTCCTGATGGAAAAAGGCTTATCCTAGAGCAAAAATTCAGCCATCTCCAAAAGAAGCTCTTTTATACATGATGTACTCTAGGCTTTGCACTTGGTTTACACATCTCTTCAAACATATCTGAAATAAATCCATGTCTCTGAGAAGGTAATTAAAACATCAGATACTCTAAATATCAGGTCTGCATAAGAAAAAGTGAGTCATGTAACAGGATGGGAAAAATGTTTATTTTAACAAAGGGTAAAATATTTGTTTGACTGAAACAGAGCAATCATGGCCAACTTTACTGTTACTGCTTGCACTTAACTCCAGCTACTGACAGAGGAATTTTAAGCAACTGGGGACTTGAGACAACCCTGTAGACTGGGGAACAGGTCCTCACCCTGGCCAGGGACTCAGCCCCATCCAGCTGCCTTTCAGGCAAATACTGCAGCAAAACCTTAGCCCTGTGCAGAAGGAGCTTGTGCTGCCCTTTTTGAGAGAAACAGCATGGACAGGACAGCAGCACACTTCTCTCCAACAGCACGTTTCCACCTCTCCAT